AAGAGAAATAAGTAGAAATTGGCATAGAGTAGAGCTGTTATGTTGTTTGTACGCGTAGTCAGTCATTGGAATTTTTAAGGGGGGGGGGGGCGTTCCTTAGTAAAGGTCATCGGAATTTTCAAAGAAGGGCCTGTGGGGACATTCCCTAGCTGTGTACCATTTTATTACTCACGATTAATATTCAAAGGAAAACTGGTTACTCGCCACAAACTCTAATTTTCTAATCTTATATATCTTTGAAACTTTCAAGAGTGGGAAAAGTTGGTTGGTTTTGAAATTAGATATAAGGCTTGATTTGAGTCTTTATTGCCATAAATATTTGTTAAAAGGAGGGAAGGGAGTGGGACGTATTTTAAACAATATAAGATACGGTTCTGCACACTTTGTGTTTTGTGTCTATACCGGAGAAATATTATTACGTGGTACTAGTATAGACCGGTTTCAGGTTAAACCAAGCTTCTAGTATTAGGATGCTTGGGTTTAGAAGGTTGAGTATGGTTTAGGATGGTTTGGGTTCGCTCCAGTGACGGTTTGATGTCTTATATAAGAACTGCACTCACCTGTGGAATGCAGGCAGTTCAGGCAGTTTAGGCAGTTCAGGCCAAACCTGCAGGCTTTCCGTTCATAGGAGGGTTGGAGGGGGGGACAGGCATAACCTAGAGTTAAGGGGAAGGGAGTTGGGCTGAGTTTCTCTTCAGTTAAGTCCAAACCATGCTGAAGATTCAAGTTTAATCATTCAAAATATTGTTTTTCTTGTTTTTTTTCTCCCCTCAGTGAATTATTAGTTTAAACCCTTTAGTTATTAGATATCAAAACCATTCAGGAGTATACAGTGATCAACATAATACTGTGGAATAGGAAACAACATTACAGCAATCTTACAGTGAATTTAATTTCATATAAAGAAAATAGCTTAACAATTAGCTTAAAAATCAACTTTTTCTGTGCCTCATGTTTATTTGATTTAGAAATTAATTTTTTAGTGTAAAAGTAGTCGTTGTTTTCCATAGTTGTATGGGGACCACAGTACAACATAATTGTACATTGAAATTAAAATATCCATATTCTACAAGAATGATTTAATCATGAAACATTCCCAGATTTGAGTAATTATTTAACACGCTTCGAATAACACATAACGGGTTCAAAAATATACAAATACAGGGTGTTTATCAATTTATGATAATTAATCAAAATTTGGATAAATGTTCAAATTCTTTATAATATTACCATTAATAATAACAACATCTGAGATTCTGTTGTGTACATATTTTTGAATCTTTGATTTGATAAACACAATCACTTTTTGCTCAAAATTACCCAAATACTGAAAAACACGTTTTGTTTTGGTTTCCCAATTAATTTCAAATTATATAAAGAATCGAAACTGTTTCGTCATTTAAAAAAAGAATGTTTTAAAGATTAAGAAATTCATTCTATTTAATAATCCCAACAAATTTTATGAATTCATTGCTGTTATCGAGATTACAACTTTTAATATTTATACAAATTTGAATAGGGACCTATGCATTTTTATAAAAACACTATTTTGCATATCATACAATTGCAAAATCGACACACCTAGACCCCCTTCCTCACAGACACAGACACAAATATAAAACACAATTATAAAACAAATTTGTATATAGATATGTCTTTGTTTTACGTCAGGTTTTACGGTATAGGTATCTAGGTATCTGTTACAGGCAGAGATAGGAGGCAGGTGGGGATACAATTCATGTACAATTCATGTATACAATTTTTATACAATTCATGTACAATTCATGTACAATTCATGTACAAGTCATGTATATAATTTTGGAATAGTTTACGTATAAAGGTGTGGGGGGGGGTAGTAGAATACTTTTATTTTAACCCAATGGACACCCTGTAAGGTTTGAAAATTTGACTAAAGTGACTCACCCTGTATATTTAAGGTGAACTAAACCAAATATCAAAAAAATGAAAAGAACTGACAAAAGCACCAATTTAAAGTTTGAAGGAACAATTTTGTAAATAAGCTTTTTATCTTTCCTTAAAGCTAGCATTACAATTTGTTATTTAGGGAAACCAATTTTATTTATTATTAATTTCTTGGACACATTAATTAGACATAGAACATTTGAAATCAATAAACCATGTCCTGGACTGAGAACCCCCCCCCCCCTCCTCCATTCTCTAGGTTCTCACGTAACCCCGCCCTTTATTATGTTATCTCCCCTCTTCCCTCCCCTACTTCCTTTCTTTATCTTACTTCCCTTCCTCCATTTCTCTTAACTCCTCTACTTCCTTATCTTTATCTTGCTTCCCTTCTTCCATTTCTCTTCCCTCCCCTACTTCCTTATCTTTATCTTACTTCCCTTCCTCCATTTCTCTTCCTTCCCCTGCTCTCTTCCTTCTCCTTTTCTTCCCTCCACCTCCCGTCGAAGGGATCCTTCACCCCTTTGTTGTTCATGCTTTACATTCCGAAGAAAGTACTGCCACAGAATTTCCTCCCTCTTCTTTCTTGCTCAACCTTTTCTGCCTCTCCTCCTCCCTTCTTTCCCTTCCTCCTCTTTTTTTCCTCTCTTTTCTTTCTTTTTCTCCCTTCTTTCCCTTCCTCCTCTTTATCCACTCTCTACTTTCTTTTCCTTCTTTCTCCTTCTTTCCTCCCTTCCTCTCTTCCTTCTTTTTATACATCTTTTTACTTCCTCATTGTTCCCATATTCTCATCCTCTTTCTTCTTCTTCAATTTTCTCCTATTCCATTTTCGTCCTTATCCTCCTCTCCATTCTCAACCCCCTCTCCTCTTCCAACCCATCTTCTGCCTCTCCCCTCCTCTCTCGCAACTTTTTCCCTCAACTTTTTTTACTGTAAGCATTATTTGAAGTGAACCTCCATGGCAATGCCCTATTCACAACGGTATCCTTGAAACCTTTATTTCATCAATAATGTGGAAGATATTGTCGTTTCTTTAAGGTTTAAATTTGATTCTGATAATTTATATATGTTTTCATGTAGAAATGAGCAAATCAGTTTTTTAAAGTAAAAGAACGATTGAAAATAACCTGTATTGAATATTAAAAACATTAATATATAATTCATATTTGATCTGGATCAGTGCAAAGCTTTAAGGATACCGTTGTAAATTGACATCTTTGCCTTTGCAAGGAAAGTTACTTGAAATTACGCTTACAATACCTTTAAACCATTCTACTTCTACATCACGAGGTATAAAACCATATTAGATACAAATTCGCTTTAATAAAGTAGTAATCTCTGTTTGTCTGTTTGTTGTATGTCCGATCAAAACTTATAAACCCTTTGACAGATTTGCATCTAATTTTGATTGAGGAACTTGTTTAGTTAAGTACAGGGTGTCCCACATCAAATTAGACCGCGTCAATGGATTTACAGGGTGTCCCACATCAAATTAGACCGCGTCAATGGATTTACAGGGTGTCCCACATCAAATTAGACCGCGTCAATGGAGGAGATACAAATATTTGACTATAGCTTCCCATTTTTATATAAAACAGGAGATACAAATATTTAACTATAGCTTCCCATTTTTATATAAAACAGGAGATACAAATATTTGACTTTAGCTTCCCATTTTCATATAAAACCGGAGATACAAATATTTAACTATAGCTTCCCATTTTTCATATAAAACAGGAGATACAAATATTTAACTATAGCATAGCTTCCCATTTTTTATATAAACCAGGAGATACAAATATTTAACTATAGCTTCCCATTTTTTATATAAAACAGGAGATACAAATATTTAACTATAGCTTCCCATTTTTCATATAAAACAGGAGATACAAATATTTAACTATAGCTTCCCATTTTTTATATAAAACAGGAGATACAAATATTTAACTATAGCTTCCCATTTTTTATATAAAACAGGTGATACACATATTTAACTATAGCTTCCCATTTTTTATATAAAACAGGTGATACACATATTTAACTCTAGCTTGGGAGCGTTGTCCAGGTTAGTTACTCCAGCCATTTACCCGCACTTGGTCGTAAATTACGAGTTTAGCTATTTTTCCCGATAAAAGTCGACCCACTCAACTTATAATCTCAAAACCAAGCCAAGAACATTCCCGTGGCTCTCCCGAGTTCCCCAATCAATATATGAGGCAAATCGGTCCAAGGGTTTTTGAGTTAAGATCGGATAAACAAACAAACAGATGGTGACTTAATTTCATTTGACCCTATATTGAGATCCATGTCCAATTCCCAACCGTACCCCTTAAACCTGAGTAACAATGATGAAGATATAGATTATCTGGAAAAGTGTAAAATTTTGACAATTTCCTCCATTGTCTCTGCTGCATAAATACTTCGTTTACTTTAACATTTACAACACAATAAAAGTAATTACATTTTAAGTTAGAAAAACAATAATATCTCTTTCATCTGTAATCAGATAAAGGTTTACCAGGTACCGTTATAAATCGTACTTTATACTTTATAAATTGGGAGTCAGTGAAAATTTTGTCCCTTTTAACTTGGTAAGATTCTCTAATGATCTTAAAAAATTATGTTTCTTGGTCAATAATGGACATGAATTTTCCACCTCAATAACTCAATTGAGGTGGAAAATTCTAATTGGTTTACAATTGTTTCAAAATTTAGACTTTAGTGTTCATTCAAATATTTGCATTGTATGCTTAATCGGTTTACCAATGCATTCAATTTTATAATTTACAGGAAACTGTTACATTTTTAAAGGTCATATGAGATCTTCATATCACACTACCACCTTGAAAACCCAGCTTTACCTGGAGTTTTCCTTGTAAAAGTAAACCCACTCAACTTAGTATTTTTTAACAAGAGGTAGAACATTCGTGTAGTTCTACCCAAGTCACCAATCAAAATTTAAGGCAACTCGGTCAAGGGGTTCATGAATAATGCTCGGAAATCCGAACAAACAGACAGAAATTACCACTTTATATACGAATAAAGATATATTAGGTCGTCTTGATTAAGTCAGAATTTTTAGATTATTTTTTTTTGATATTTCAGAATAAAGCAATGGCGCCGGCTATGCGGCCTCGTGTTATTCAGGTTGAGCGGAGTTCCAAGGGGTTCGGTCTCTCCTTGATCTATCGAGGACTTGATAAATACGAGGAGAAGGATACAGGGATCTTCGTAGCTCGAGTAGTACCTGGAGGCCAGGCGGCCAGGTACGGAGTTAGAGAAGGCGATAAGATTATCTCCATCAACAACAAGAATCCAAGGAATGTCGACGATGCCGTCGGGATCATCAAGGAGGCAGGAAAGTCTATCAAGTTGATGCTGCTCCGTCAGGAGGAGGTCCCTGATGTGGTTCATGATGATAATCTCAGCCTGGCCTCCACGGAGATGGATTCTACTTGGGTTAGATTTTAACTAACTTAAATAGTTAGGGGCGTATTCAGGAATTTATCCACGGGGAGGGGCTTACATTTTTTTCTGTCCCGGAGGGGAGGGGGTTAACATGCTAGGAATAAATAATTAATTAAAAAGATAAATTAGAACGATGAAAGAAAAAAAATCTGAAAAATACGCCGTAAATTCAGAACTAATCACGTTTCCTTCAGTTATGTCAGTCCTGCGTCTATTCTAATTCATTATTTTAAATTATCAAATACTGTAGAAACCTGAGTAATAAATACACAATTTGCTGTCCTAGCTATTTTATGATTTATCATATTCAATTAAATCTAAACTACTTTATTCATAAGTATATATATGTTTTCAATGAAATGATAAAAACAAATAATATTGTGACACCTACACGCCTTATCTCTCACATAGTAATCTAACAAGCCAAAAATGTATGTAATATTTTAAACAGTGAACGCTGATAAGCCAATATTATATTTCTGAGATAAAACAAGATTCGAGTTCAGTGAATCATTTAATATAATTCATTCATTAGTTTATTATTTTTCAAGATGCGAGCCAGCATTGGACAACCTGGATCCAGGACGGGTTCGGTTCGAAGTTTCAATACTCAGTACGGACGACATACTCCGGAGAACACTCCTGCAATGATACATAACAGTCCTCAACAGCAAAAGTTTCTCCAGGAGCAGGAGGAGTACAGACGCAGGCAGCAGCAGGAGATACAAGCTGCTCAGGAAGCTGAAGCTCAGCGTCAATATGAGCAACAGATAATGATGCATCAACAGCAGCTTAGAGCACAACAGCAGCAACAACAACAAGCTGAGCTGTTGGCTCAGCAACAACAGCTTCAACAGCAACAGCTTCTTCAACAACAACAGATCCATGAGAGTCCTGTCAAACAAACTGTGAGAGATCTGATTAATAAACATGATCCAGATATTCTGATGAAACAGAACGCAAACTATCTAGCTCCAACCCCTCGCTACACTAAGGAGGAAATTACAAAATCTACAGAAAATATCACAACCGTGGAGTCGGGACGGAAATCTCCGGGAGCCTTCTCCACCAAGTCGAGCAGGTACAAGTCGACAATCAGTCTAGCAGATCTGGGTCTGGATAACTACCCCTACCCGGAGATGCCAGAGAGCAGTAGATTATCTAGGAAGGAGGAGAAGCAAACCCTGCAGAACCTGAACAATAGGTTAGCAGGATACATAGATAAGGTTAGACAACTCCAGAGGGACAATGCAAAACTAAACAAACAGATTAAACACATTGAAGAGTATCAGAGCAAGGAAGTGACCAATGTCAAACAAATTTATGATCATGAGATTGATTCTCTTAAAGATGCTCTTGACGGACTATCCCGCCAGTATAATCAACTAAAGGTTGCCTCTGAGGGACTTCTCAGTGAAAACGAAGATCTTAAGGATACTCTTCAGCGAAAGGACAATGATCTGAAGAACACCGGCGAGGTTATCTCCGGACTTCAGGATGAGATTCGTCAGCTCACCAGCAGACTCGGAGACCTGGATAACCAGAGGAAGAAGACCCAGGACAGGCTGGACGAGGTTCTCCCTGAGCTACAGAGACAAAAGGATAAACTGAACGAGGCCAAGAAGCAGCTTGACGACGAGGTTCTCAAGAAGGCCGAGCTGGAGAACCAGTGCCAGAGATTGGACGAGGAGCTCAAGTTCAAGATCCAGCTTCTGGAGCAGCAGCTGGAAGAGGTTAAGACAAGGAAGGAGATTGAGATCACAGAGATGGACGGGAAGCTGCAGGAAGAGTATGAGGATCGTCTCCAGAAAGCTCTGGGAGAACTGAGGGAGGTTTATGACAAGCAGATGTCTCAGAACAGAGAAGATTTTGCCAAACTTTACGAAACAAGGGTAATTATATTTATTTAATTCACCAATCTTTGGTTCAAACTTTATTTGAATTATTGATTTCCTTTTTATTAATGATTGCCATTATAATCTTTAACCTAGTTCCATTTAAAGCTTTGGCTGAGAAACGATGTTTTTTCATAAATGAAACAAAGCAATTGAGTCTTTGCCACAAACTCTGATTTTTAAACCCCAAAACCATTGCAAATGAATTGTGTAACCCTTAAATATTTAAAAATAAGCATTCTGTTATATTAAATATCCAAAGTTTGACATACGAAAGATTTACGCAATGCACCATCAGGTTGCAAAGATTCAGGAATTATAAAATTTTAGTTTTGTGGCAAAGACTTAATTTTTTTCAACCATTTTCTTGCTCTTCTTCGCTGTCTATGTAAGCTGTTGCAGTTATTTCTAACTCCACTCTTAAATTAGAGAATTTATTTGAGAATTATTTCGATTAAGTTTAAAAGGATTTATTTTTATTTTCATGTTCAACTTTAGTAATTCATTGAACTTTAAATAATTTAGTTTTAAGTTAAATCTGTTCAATGGAGCGACCGTTCAGGGTTCTTTGTAAATCATAGTGGAACATTTTATTATTATCTTTACTCTAATATCTAGTTTAAACCAGAACATGGCCTCCCTCGCCACTCCTTATTTGCTAGCGTAGTACGCAAAAATGTAATAAACAGAATACTTACCCAATTTTGTGCGTACGATCACTGCAAAAGGAATACTTGGACAGTAAATACGTTAAATCTGCAAATTAATATCTTATTATTTTAATTATCATTTTTATTATTATTATTTGATGTTTGATTCTGATTAACAAGAAATTATTCTAAAATAAAAAAGGATTAAAGTGCTTAATTATAAATCAACAATTTTTTATCAGTTAAATAGAAACTGCAGTAAATTAAAACAACGATTAATAAGAAAAAGTTCGTTTTAAAAAAATCTTTTATTTTTTTTTCTAAAAAATCAATAAGATTTTTTTGATAATTTTCCACAAGCTCAAATGTTTTAGTTCCTATAGCTTTGCAACCTGATGGTGGAAACCTTTGATATTTCAAACTTAGATTATGTATCTAATAGAATTTATAGTTTGAAATATCCGTCGGAAAGATACATCTATTTATAAATTTGGTTTGTCTGTCTGTTTGTTTGTTTGTATCCAATAAACGTCAAAACAGCTGAACCGATCGGGCCCAAATTTTTTGTGGGACATCATGTGACCACAGGGAAGGTTTATGAATGATAAAAATTAATAAGAAATGTGTTTTAAAGGTCTTTAATTTTGTAAAAAAAATTAAATTCTTGAAAATCCGCGATTTTTTTAAAAATCCGCAAATTTTTTTCTTCTTTGTTTTAAAATGTAAACAAAAAGAACATGTTCACAATTTAAATAGAAGATGGGCGCGAAGCGCCCTAAAAGCCTAGTTAGTTAAAACCCCGCTAATTATATAAAAATCTTTTACTATTATCTAACAAACAATTTTTTGATAATTTTCTTTCACAAGAAAAATATATATATTTTTTTTCAGGTAAATGATCTTCAGACTCATCTGGCCTCGGAGAGAGGACGCGCCTCCTCAGGAGCCCAGGCTCTCTCCGAGTCCAAGTCTAGGATAGAGAACCTGGTTCATAAGGTCTCGGAGCTGGAGTCATCCAACCTCAAGCTCAATCAGAAGATCTCAGATCTGGCACAAACTCTGGAGGATCAGAACTCAGCACAAAGATCTCAGGTACATTCCGTGGTCACTGCTGAGGCGCACACAGGGGGGGGGGGTTATGGGGGCTAATACAAAATTGTTCACTTAAATGGTGATATATCTCACATATATTTCAATATAGTATCTGAGCTGGGAACTTTAGAATGGTGGATATTGGTATTAATGCTTAATCCTTTCTTTTTGCTAATCTCGAGACTAACATAATCTTGAAATTATGTTAGTCTCGAGATTAAATATTTAGATCAACAAATTTGATTCTAGGAACGCCAGATTTGTTAGTTATCTTGACGTACTGGAAGGGCCTTCACTTAATTTTTCACCCATTTCCTTATTAATACATTAGTTAAAATTGGCTAAAAAAGAATCTCAAACGTATTATTAAATATTTTTCTTCACTGATTAATTTTCAAAATGGCCGACAACATATTCTTTATTTGTTAGAAATTGCGGATTTCTCTCATGGGATAGAATTTATTTTTAAGGCTGTCATTGGTCAATAAAATTTACGATCTATATTCCTGCACTCTCATGGGAGAAAACAATGTATGGATATTCAACGAGAGAGAAAAAGAGTGGATTAATGATTAAAATTAAAAGTTTCCACAGAGGATATTCGGATTAAGTAGTTGGGATTAAAGGTTATCCATTCTGAAGTTCCCAGCTCAGGAACTGTAATCTATATAAGAAAACAAGACATTCATATATATGTTTCCTCTGGCCGGCCAGACGGCTGAACCGAATTGGCTGAATTTTTTGTGGACACTCATGGGTAGCCTTGGGGTGACGATAAATTCTTGAAAAGTTGTTGACGAATTCTTCATATTTATTTTACACTAAAAGTCTTAAGTTATCACTTTTGACAAAAGTAAAGGCATAAAGTGGAATTACGTACAATTCTATAGTGGAATTTTTAAATTCTGAATACATCACGAAAACATACTGTTAATTCGCATTGTTACTGCATAATAGTGAACAGAAAAAAAAACAAGATATTATATGATTATACAGGGCTACCCACAAAGGATGAGACTGTAAAGAAGACCCAAAACTCTAAAATTATGACGATTTAAAGCTTGACTTTTAATTAGTTTCATTCAGTTGAGTATTTTGATGGTTTACTAAATAATTAAGCACAGAAATAAGTCAGTCTTGGTCTACAAGGAACCCTAAGTGCAAGAAAACGGACTAAACGAATTTCGTACAATGGTCTCTGAAGTCTCATCCTTTGTGGGTAGCCCTGAATATAATAAGAACCTGAAGATTTTGTAATGCTTCGAACCACTGGATAATAGTATCCATGATATCCATCATAAATTTTTATAAATGTTTTTTTTCAATTCAATTTTATATTTTTCCAGTTGGCTGCCAAGGATGACGAGATCAAACGTCTACTGGATGAGCTGAGCAACCAGTTGAACGAGTACCAGACCCTCATGGATACCAAGGTTGCCCTGGACATGGAGATTGCCGTGTTCCGTCGCCTCCTAGAGTCCGAGGAAGACAGGCTCGGGATTCATATTGGAGGTATTTAAATATACATTATTCATAAGTTTTTGAGAAACGGGGTTGTTCGTCTATTAAAAAATACACATAATACCCTTTTGAGATTAGGATGAAAACTTAGCCAATCTTTCCGTTCGAATATGCTCCAGAAAGTCGGAATTTTCAATAATCTATCCAAATAATGACAAACCAGTTTTACAGTGAATTTCGCGGATTTCCCCCATTTTCCCCGTACATTAAACCGAGAGAAAATTCAAAATATATATGCAAAAACGAACCAAAAATTATCGTGTTAAAACGATCGTTTTTTGGTCCTTTTTGCAGTTTTTTAGTATAAAATAATTTCAAAGTTTAATAAAACCGTAAACAGTTTTGAAGTGTGGAAGGTTTAATCAAAAGTTTTATAAAAAAAAGCACTATGTGTAATAAAATTATTATTTGACAAACAGTATTTAACACCATGGCTCTCATGAACATCACTCAGTAGTAGAATACAATGTTTCTAGTTTCGAAAATTTGGATATTATGTGTATTTTCAAATAAAGCTGAACACCACGGAGGAAACCGTTAGAACTAAAAACTAGAAAATCGACGATGCTATTCCATCTTATTGATCATATAAAGGTTTTTAAACTTGAAAGTTACAATTACAGTTCTGTAAATGAAAGAATGAAATTAACAAATGTGTGTTTCATAATACTTGAAATCAATGTTGCGGTTAGGTTTCACAGTATCAGGGCCGGGTTAGATTCAATGAATTTAATACCAGAAACAGGATGATATTTCTCAATGTTCTAGAATTTACGATTATGGTGAAAATCTAGGTTTGATAGGTTCTGGATTTATGGTATTTCAAAGAGCAAGGGGAATTAGTTTTATAATGAGAAGTTTTCACTTGTGTATTTTTGGAAGTTGCAATAAGTACTTTTAAAATTTTGCCACTTGTGTAATTATACTTTTTAAAATTTGCCATTGGTGTAATTTTACATTAGTTGTCACTTATGTAATTGTACAATTTAAAAGTTGCCGCTCGTGTAATTACTTTGAAAAATTCCACTTGTGTAATTGTTCTTTTTAAAAGCTTCCACTGTACATTTTATAAGTTGCCACATGTGTAATTTTATATTTTGGAAGGTTCCACTTGTATAACTGTACAGTACAAAAGATGTTTCGACTTGTGTAATTTTATATTTTGGAAGGTTCCACTTGTATAACTGTAGAGTACAAAAGATGCCTCTTATGTAATTTTATATTTTGGAAGGTTCCACTTGTATAACTGTACAGTACAGAAGATGCCTCTTATGTAATTTTATATTTTGGAAGGTTCCACTTGTATAACTGTACAGTACAAAAGATGCCTGTTATGTAATTTTATATTTTGGAAGGTTCCACTTGTATAACTGTACAGTACAAAAGATGACTCTTATGTAATTGTATATTTGGAAGGTTCCACTTGTGTAAGTTAACATTTTAAAAGTTACTACTGTAATTTTACGTTTTCATGATCACCCCTTGTGTGGTTTTATATTACTTAACAATATTATACATTCTAGACGACTCTTTCGACGATGAGGTCGACGACGACCTATCCGAGGTTCAGCGCGTCATCACGACCAACTCCGAGTCCAACTTCCAGAGGAAGATCACCGTCTCTCAAACTCAACTCTAAGCGTACAAAATGGAGAAATTTGTGACAAAAATACTTGTAAAGTATTATTAAAGTGCTTTTATTTATATTTGTAATTATAACTTAAAGTGAACATTGATGTAGAGTTCTTCAGAAATCATAAGAAACAAGTGACAGCCCTTTAAGCAAATTGTACAGGTTGATTATTAAAGAGACTGTAGACGTAATTTCAAGCAACCATCATTTATTAAGTGGTATATGTCAGATAACTCGGTACTCTTCAAAGTGATTGAGATACCTTTTTTATTGCAATCTAAAATGATAATTTGTTATATCTTTAAGACATTAAACCTACGATAACGGGCTAAAGGGTACCGTTGTGAATTGCTATGTCACTCTACGGTTGGATGGTCATGTATAGCTACTTTTAAAGTCTACACTAGAAGAACGACGTTATAATTCGTTAGTTCAAGTTGTATGTTATTTTGACAACTCTGCATCTTAAATATTTATTTAACTCCTGTGTTTTCTGTATATCCCTGTATGTGTTTTTAGAATGTATAAATTCAATAAAATAATATGTAATTTTCTATGTGACAAAGTATATATGAAATTGAAAATATCCAGAAAAATCATAGATTGTGAAATAATAGTTAATAATAATAAGTAAAATAAGTATTCCCTGTTTTGATGCGACAGTATATCTTGCCTGACCAATTATCCTCAAAATGAAATAAAATAATTACCATGATACAAATATCATTTGTTATATCAAGAGAAATATGTAACACTTTGTGTAATTTACATTTTTAATAAATATTCTTAAATTTTTTATGTTTAAAACCAGCTTTAAAGGGACTGTAAGCGTGATTCTAAATGGCCCTTCATGCAAAGATAGCAATGCCCGATTTACAAACCCTTGTGGAAGATTGAAAAGTGTTAATTTCTGTGAATTTCTCCATTGCTTCTTATATGCAAGAAATGCACAATTCACTTCCGCAGAGAAACCGTAAATGAAAATAAACAGTTTAATGAAACAAAAACATTGATATCAAATTCATACTTGATCAGACAAAGCTTTAAAGGGAGTCATTGTGAATCGGGCATTGTCATCTTTGCATGTAAACCACAGGTACAACTATATGTCATATCGATTTAACTACACTGTTTTGGTACAGCATAACCATAGTTTGACTCTGGAGAACGTTTTGTTGAGATTAACAGTTGTAAAGGGTGTAACAAAATAAAAGCGCAGTTTCATACATAATTCATTTGTAGAAAAAGTATAGGGTGTCCCACGAAACATGACAGTTGGTAAATAGTTTTAAATGTTTTATTCTATAATTTGCGAAATTCTTTGATCTTAAACAGACGGAAAAAATATGACATGGAATTTTGGAAGTCGAAGTAAAATTGATTTCAAAGTAAAATATATTAGATTAAAAGATTTCTTTGACGAAATAAAATGCAAGAAGTTTTTAATATTTAATAGTATATGGAAGAAGACATTCAAAACTATTCACCAACTGTCATGTTTCCTGGGACACCCTGTGGATCAAGTTTGTAATGCATACAAGGGATATACACAAATAAATCTGTTGTTAATTTTGGCCAAAATTTGACATAATACAGAAAAGCACATGTTTAGACTCAACAATTTTTAAAACAATTGCTTTTGTTTCACTATGCAAAAGGACCTAGAAAGAAAATCTCGCGATCCAAAATCAAATGCAACATCAGTATATTCCCTACACTTAAACAAGCCGTTGAATACAGGGTACTTGGTTTAAAATAGGTTTATTTCATAAAAAATATAAAATCGATATTTTTGATCATGTCGCAGGATTTATAAGGGTTATCACTTGTATCTAGAACAGCTTCAACTTCTATAATAGTTTGAAAAAAAGGTTTCTCAAGTTAGATTGTAAGGTTGAAGAGGGAAAGGTAGGGACGGATTCGGATCTCTTGTCGGAGAAGGGTTGGGTTTAACTGGCGAGGGTTGTGATGATCCTGATATTTTGATTGGTTCTGTTCAGATATCTTTGATCAGAAAGATCCTTCAAGGCGTCATCAAACATATCCCTAGAACAATAAGATCATAATTTTTTAAGGTTTTAGATTAATGAATGGAAGATCAAGGGTTCAGGTTAATGAATGGAAGATCAAGGGTTCAGGTAAATGAGTAGAAGATTAAGGGTTCAGGTAAATGAGTAGAAGATCAAAGGTTCAGGTTAATAAGTAGAAGATCTAAGGTTCAGGCTAATGAGTAGAAGATCAAGGATTTAGGTTATTGAGTAGAAGATCAAGGGTCCAGGTTGATGAGTAGAAGATCAAGGGTCCAGGTAAATGAGTAGAAGATCAAAGGTTCAGGCTAATGAGTAGAAGATCAAGGGTCCAGGTTAATGATTAGAAGATCAAGGGTTCAGGCTAAAAATTAGAAGATCAAAGGTCCAGGTTAATGAGTAGAAGATCAAGGGTTTAGTTATTGAGTAGAAGATCAAGGGTCCAGGTTATTGAGTAGAAGATCAAGGGTTTAGTTATTGAGTAGAAGATCAAGGGTCCAGGTTATTGAGTAGAAGATCAATGTCCAGGTTGTTGAGTAGAGGATCAAGGGTCCAGGGTAATGAGTAGAAGATAAAAAATTCAGGTTAATGGGTAGAAGATCTAAGGTTCGAGAAGAAGATCAAGGTTTCATATTATAGACAGATCAAGAATCAAGGTTGACGAATGAAAGATCAAGGATCAAGGATGGAACTGAACTCCTACCTTGTGATCTGAATATCACTACTGGATCTCATCTCCTGTAGGATCTTATCATAGTTGTGGGAAACAACCTTTCCCTTCTTATCCAACAAAGCCTAATAATACAGACAATGGTTAGATCTGGGGTCGGAGATATCCATATAATTTTGCATCCTGATATTTCAAACTATGAATTCAGCTGAATCAAACATCCAAAGTTTGAAAGATGAGGCTGCAAAGATTTAGAGATAAGAAATATACATCAGTTTCGTTCAAACAATTATAATTTAAGGATACATTCGATTAATGTTACAGCAGTGCAGGACATTGCCTAAGTAAGTTGGAATCAAAATGAAAGGACGGTTGCTCAATGCTCATGCTCAAATAAGTTCTGTAGGGTAAAATGAAAGGACGGTTGCTCAATGCTCATGCTCAAATAAGTTCTGTAGGGTAAAATGTAGAAGAAAGGTCTAAGGTTGAGAATCTGACATGCCGCTCATCAAATGGAGGGAAACTTGAAACTACGTGTACACTGTATACTGTATACTGTACACTGTACACTGTACACTGTACACAGTACACAGTACACTGTACACTGTACACGGTACACGGTACACTCCGTTTAAACTCAATCTTTAATCTGACCTTGAGAGCTCCGGCAACCTCTTGACGTTTCTTCCTGGTCTCGGAGGATACTCCGGTAGTGATAATCCCGAGATCAATCCGTCCTGTCTGAGGATCAGTAGCGGACTGTTTAACAGCCTCCCTGTGCAGGCGATAGGCCTCCTCCACATCGATCATCTCCACCACCTGGGAGAACCTCATCTTGGCGTGGGCCTCGCTCAACCTGATCAAGGACTCCAGCTGTCTTGGGTAGGCAGTTATCTAAACAAGACAATAATTCATTTAAAATTACATACATGTGAAAAATAAATCAGCTTCATATAATTTTTTTGTGTATGTTAAGTATAAAACTTAAAAACTAATATTAAAATCAATGTCTAAAAAACTTACTTGTCCTCTGCCTGCTCCAATCTTACGCATAGTAACGTAATAATCAATCAGCTTCTGTCCAGCTTCCTCGTTCATCTTGGGCTAAAAAATATTATTAATATTATTAGCTGACAAACCCTTATTCAATTAAATAGGGGTCGACGCCGCTCCCCGCCACGGATATGTATCCATGGACAAAACTGTTTGCTTGGTCCAAGAAGAAAGTAGCTAAGTAAATAAAAAACCAGCTTATCCCCTTTTTCAATATTTGTCACTTCTTAAAACATATTTTATACTTTTTGGCTAATCTCGTTGAAGACAAAAATTAAAATGACTCTCTATTTATAAAGTGACATATCTTATTGAAAACCGTTCCCTTTAAACCTTTGTCTGAAGAAATATATATTCTTTTTGCGGATTAATACAGGAAAAACAATGAAGTAAATTATCAAAATTCAACGACGATATCGTCCTCATTGTTACTCTAATAATAATTGTGCATCGGACATGCCACTATTCTCAATATAGGATCATGTAAAATGAAGCGTACAGTCCCTTTAATTTCTTATTTGTATTCGCTTACCTTATACTTAGACTTGGCGTATGCAAGATAATCTCTGAGTATAGACATGGACAGACATTCTTCCTCCTCCTGCTCTTGGTCCCTAGATATATAGATATATAGACATAGACAGACATTCTTCCTCCTCCTGCTCTTGGTCCCTAGATATATAGTTATATAGACATGGACATACATTCTTCCTCCTCCTTCTCTTGGTCCCTAGATACGTTGATATATAGACATAGAGAGACATTCTTCCTCCTCCTGCTCTTGGTCCCTAGATATATAGATATATAGACATAGACAGACATTCTTCCTCCTCCTGCTCTTGGTCCCTAGATATGTTGATATATAGACAGACATTCTTCCTCCTCCTTCTCTTGGTCCTTAGATAGATATATTGACATAGAGAGACATTCTTCCTCCTCCTACTCTTGGTCCCTAGATACATATTAGATAGATAGATCAAACCACCTGATCAAACTGTAAAATGAAAACACAAATTAAAAATCAAATTACCTGAAGTAGAGAGAAACAAGATGCCTGGCCAGTCTTTTATCGTAGAGTTCATTTGCTGGATCCAGAACCAGGAATATCAGATCGAATCTGGAGATAAGAGTCGGCGGTAGATCAATATTCTCAGATACGGTTTTCTTAGGATCATACTCGGAGTCGACAGGGTTAGCTGCGGCTAGGATTGAAGTTCTGGCGTTCAGTTGACAGATGATCCCAGCCTTTGCAATAGAGAGGGTTTGCTGTTCCATAACTTCGTGCAGGACGGATCTTGTGGCATCACTCATTTTATCGAACTCGTCGATACAGCAAACTCCGTTGTCGGCGAGGACAAGAGCTCCGGTCTGAAGAACCATCTGCCGTGTATCCGGGTCCTTGGTGATATAGGCGGTTAAACCAACAGCGCTGGAACCTTTACCACTGGTGTACTGTGATCTTGGGACAAGATGGAATATGTACTGGAGAAGCTGAGACTTGGATGTACCTGGATCTCCGCAGAGAAGAATATTAAGTTCAGATCTGAAGTGTCCACGTCCTGCCTTAGTGAAATCCTTACGGGTTCCTCCGAACATCTGGAGAAGGATACCCTTCTTGATATCCTCGTTCTCATAGATAGACGGAGCAATAGCTCGTGCCAGACGCTCGTAGATATCAGGCTTCTCAGATAGACCCTTAAGAAGTTCGATCCGTTCTGCGGTGAACATCTCTTCGTCACTCCCATCCCTCAACCTGGAGGAGTCGCTCTTCCTGAAGTGAACAACATCAATATGAGTCTTGTAGATTGACATCACGTTCCTTGTCTTAGGATTGGCACGTTGTGGCACAGCTCTGTAGATACCAGTCACGGAAACACGGTCTCCGGGCATTACCTTGTCCACAAGCTCTCCATGGACATAGAGACGGACAGTGTACGGTGTCTGTCCAGCGGGCATATCATCCGGACTCTCCTGGAGTTTAATCATCTGCTTGTCAGAGAACTTGCTCCGGTTGTGAATGAGTGTAAAGCTGTGGTTTGTGTTGCAGTGTGAGCAGAGAACTGGTTCAGCAATACGTCCTCGCTCAACCTCATTGGAGGCTGTGTTGTTGCACACGGAGCACTGGAAGAATCCCTCTGCTAACTCCGGAATAAGATCACTAGCACGGATTACCATTCCTTGGATCGTGATCAGCTGATCAATATCATTGGGATTCAACGCTCTCATGTTTTTCGTCTTCTCCGCATTATACGGTCGAACCTGGATCTGATGATCAAGATCCGTATCCGGGAACTTGTCGAAGAAGAGCTCGTTGACGGCCATGTCGAGGATGGGAATGACCTCCTGAGGATACTGAATGAGCTGCCTGTACAGCTCCTCGTCAAACACCTGGATGTGTCCAGAGTTCACGTTCAAGAACGGAATCAGCGTGATCGTAATCTCATTCAACCTCTGCTGATAGTAGGGTTGGGTATGATCCAATCCTTCGAACTCTTCATCATCAGCTGTCTCCGGATCCTGGAAGGTTTGAATGAACCTTTTAAACTTCCGCTTGCAATCATTGAGTTGAACATCAGTTCCCCAGATGACCATGTGAGGTGCGTTCTCACTGTTCTCGCTGGGCGGGACCATGTCGCTCGGTAACTGACCCACACTGGAGCTGGGAATCAAATCTCCTGAAATATACTTATTAAAGGGACTGTACGCGTAATTTCAAGTAATACTCCATGCAAAGATTCACAACGGTATCCCTTATGACTTAGTCTGATCAAGTATGAATTAGATATCAATGTTTTTAACGGTGGTTTCTATTAAAATTAAACGGTTTTAAATCTAGAAAAAAGACACTTTCTTTCTTTATTGATTAGATAAGGGTTTCAAGGGTACCGATGTGAATCGGGCATTGCCAACTTTTCATGGGGTAATTTGAAATTACACTTAAAGTTCCTTTAAAAATTGAAAAAGTGGGGAAATATGGAATAAAACGTAGATAAAATAGAAATTATGAATTTTCAGACATTTTCTATTTACAAATCAATGAAAATCCCAATAAAATCAATTCTTTATTTGAGTTTTATTATCACCTTGAGACATAGGAATCCCGTCCTGAGAGCTGGGCAGATTGACAGTCCGGAGTCTACGATCAGATTGGATATCGGAGCGAACACGGACCGGGGTTCCCCTAGAACCGGTTCTCGGGGTTCTCAGACTGGATCCAATACTACCCGGAGTTCCATAGTTAAGAGGAGAGGATAGATCGATCTCACTTACTCTCACACTCCCAGGTCCCCTGATACACAAATACTCATTAATATATTCGAAATTATACGATATTGAGCTACTTTTTGCAGCACTCTCTAAAAAATGTTTAAAAATAATTTTGTGAAAATAAGTTCTTAACAAAATACAAACACTTTTCGTTGTTTGAGATTCACCAACAATTGACTTTTCATCTATAAAAAACTTTATGACGTAATGAATATCAAAGTAAGCTAGAAATTTAAATCAAATTCGAAAAGTTTAAGATTTAGATCATTCTTTACGTCTTTAATGAAAAGTTGAAATATTGCTAAATAATAATTAGAAAGGTCAAATTTAATTAAAGAAGATAAGGAGTGTTCAATAGCTCATTGACCTGGCCGGGGTATAAGATCACAATCCCTTCCTGATCAAGGCTGTTTAGCACTACTTCTACAGAAAAGATCAGCGGGGGGGGGGGGGGGGGGGGGGGTGTCACATCCCTCATTATACACCTTAATCAGGATCGTAAAAATATCTACCTGTAGTCAAGTTCTGAGAGAGGTGCTGGAGATGGTGCTACTCCAGGAGAACGTCCAACTGCTGGAGATGAAGGAAGAGGTGCAGCTAGGTCCGACATATCAGATACATCCATATCTTGGGCTCTAAATAAAACTTAATAAAATTTTCCCGCCATTTAAATTTTTTCGCGCCAATTCTCTGGTGCTGACCCTACCTGGAACGAGACCTGGAGGATCCAGATTTGGTGCTCCCTGCCGGAGAGGACGGAGTTTCCCCTCCACGTCTTGGAGTATTCCGAGTGGAACGAGGACTCGACATTTTCTCTGCAATAAAACATAGATAAATGTAATTCTAGAGTTAAAACAGGGTTGATGAAAATTTGAAAACCTATCACTGGTATTAGTTCGGAGGGAGTTGGGTTTAGTATTTTACTTTGTTTTGCACAGCCCGGATATTCACGGTTAGAGTATCAGGTCTCAATAGGAAATCTATCCAGGCCTCTCTTTGTAACTTGAAGTACGGTTTCGTTTTCAGCTCAGTCTTTTTAGTTTCCCAGTCTGTCAAAAGTTTCTTTAGTTTCAGCTCCAGGTCCCTCATTCCTCGGTCTATACTTGATATACCCCTAGATATTTCCCGAGGAACCAGACACAGAGGTTTTAGAGACGAATCCATGTCTATATGTAAACTAGAGGAGAGACGACGTATACTGATCTCTGTCTGCTCCAGATGCCGGAGTCGGGATTTCTCTTCTCGGCGGATTTTCTCCGTCAGGTTGAATTTCTCCGAGATAAGATTGCTCAGAGCAGTTTCAACCCCTGTGTACGTCGCTAAATTATCCACTAAACCTAAACAGGAATTTTTTTTAAAGGAAATCATTTGAGGTTGTGGCGCGGCACAGCTGCCCAGAAGGTTGTGGCGCGCCACAGCCTGTCTGAGGGCGAGCGCCAAACAGGTTTTAAAAGATTGAGTTTGCCCTATTGTATAAACCATCTACAATACTACACTCTTAGCTCAACTACCATGTCTAGCGAGATACTCCCTTTATAAGAAACTCAAGCGACTATAACTCCATGTACCTGATATTTTCAGAACCGCGTGAAGGTTGGAGAAGGTTGAATCCTCGGGAAGAATGAGTTTCCCCTTTTCTCCGAACCCGGATACTAAGCTCTCAACAGCGCTTCTAAACCCGTCTAGGTTCCTATAAATATCAGGCCTTCATGTCAAAACAATTACATGTAGAGGTAGAGGAAAAACAGAAACAAAATCAGAAGTTAAAGTAAAATAAAAAAATATAACTTAGCTGGGACTGAAGTAATTTAATGTTAACAAGAACTTTTCATTTTTTTTCACTAGTTTTGTTGATTAAAAAATAAAATAAAATAAAATAGGCATGCTATATTCACAACGGTACCCTTAAAACCGTTGTCTGATCAATGATCAGTAATGTGGAGGGAGGATAACAAAACTTTTAATTCTTTTAGGCTCTTTTATTTCAATTGTGAACATGTTTTTTATTGTATACATAGTAAAACAAAAACAAAGAAGACATTTTTTAACTTTAAAAACTGTTCAATTCTTTTAATTTCTCTGTGTTTAAAGCAAGAAATGCGCAAACAACTTTTGTAGGGAAATTAAATGATCAGTTTTCAAAATTATAAACATTGATATCTAATTCATACTAGACAAAGCTTTTAAGGGTAGCGTTGTAAATCGGAGATGCCACTCTGTCAATGGATGTTTACTTGATACTTTTGCAGTCCCTTAAAGATAAAACTGGATAATCTTACCGTTTAGAACGTTGAAATCTAGTTTCTAAATTTTTCATGGTTTCCGATATGTCAATGAGTATCCCTGTCTCAGTGAGGAGTAGGATATCCAGTATCTCCTGTCTACCCCGTCTCTCCAGCAGAATATCCCTAAATATAAATATCAAAAATTTAATTTTTTGTTGTTGCTGCTATATTTGTACTTTTCTTACACTAAGCCAAATTTTGACTTAAAGAAATATATGCACGAACCAAAAACAAGCCGTGCTAAAATGCTTTTTCTTGGGTTCATATTATTTTTTTTAATGATAAAATAACGCAAAGTTTAATGAAAACAAACTTTAACAGAACACAGTTTAGAATTGTTGGAAGTCTTTTCTTTGCAAGTTTTTAAACTTACCAGACCTATTAACAAGTTAAATAAAATATAAATCAATAGTTGTTACCTGAGCGGCAGTTTCTATTCGTTGAATCTCATCTTTAAAGATGCTCACCCGCACCCTGTTAATCTCGGATTTAAGATGAAGAAACTCAGTTTTATCTCTTCCTCTCACCAGCTCTAGGACTGTATCAGATCCAAGATCAATCAGTCCTTCGGTATCATCCTTCTTAATCTAAACATTCTTAGTTTTTTTAAACAGTCGACCNACCCAACCCAACCCAACCTGGCTTGATTTCTGCGTAAAGAAACAATGTAGATTCTCAGAAATCAGAATAAAACACTAGAAAAACGATAATTATTTAAATATCAAACATTAAATACCTCTTGCACGGATCCAATCCCAAGCTCGGAGAATCTGGATCCAAATAGATCCGTGATCAAGTTTCCGAGCTCAAGGTTCAGGTTGGATTCCATTTCATTGATCCTGCCGAGATTCATCTTACAGAGCAGAACCTGCTCATCAGGTCCAGGTCTAGGCTTCCGTAGCTCATGGGTCAACTCATCCAGGATCGTTCTTAAAACAAAGATATGTATTTTTTTCGCTCCTTAAAGATACTGTTGACCTAATTTTATGATTCATCTTCATCTAGAGTTAAATACCCTATAAACCTTTATCTGAGTTGCAATGACTAAAATATCGTCGTTTTCTGTTCTGCGAGGTCAAATTAAGTTCCTTCCTTGATATTGCTGCTTTTACCATCAAGTCACTTTCAGAGGGAAACCACGATTGGGTATTATATATTTTTAAACAGAAAAAAGATATTTCTAAACAATCACTTTTACATAAAAACCGCAATAGAAAATAATCAGTTTCCAGTATTATAAACATTGTTATCAATTAATACTTGATCAGACAAAGCTTTTAGGGGTACCAATGTAAATCGTGCATTGTAATCTCCCACAAAATTTTAAACTTCAGGATTTGGACTAAAATTCTGCAGATATTATTTAAAAAAAAATAAAATAAAAAAAAAAAAAAAAAATAATTTAAAAAAAAATAAAATCTCTGGCACCAGGTTGCAAAGATATAAAGGTTAGCAAATTAGAATTATAAGTAATTGGTTCCTTTACCTTAAAATTTTCATTTTATTGATAATAAAAAGAGATCTTCTGTATTTGATCTGATAGTCGGTAGTTAAGATCTTCTCACAGTAACAACAAACACATCTGGATAAATAAAGATAAGTAATAATTTTATTGTTCCTGAACTATCTGCAAAACTCTTGCACATTTCTAAATTATAACAATCAAACTCAACGAATTTCCCGGGTTTTTTTTTTGACGGAATTCTAAAGCTGANCTCTTAAACTCCGGATTAGGACAGATAGGAAACTGTTTTCAGGAGAAAAGCTCAGATTAAAACTTTAGAATGAGATATCCTTAATCCCAATTACTTAATCTGAGTATCCAATGGAAACACTTTTGATTTTCTTCTTAAACCGTTCTTTTTTGGATGAAGTAAAGAAAAATCAAAAACCAGTTATTTTAATTTAGAGAGTCCCTCCCGTTTCTGTATATAATCTTGAATGGCGCGCAAAATTTCAAATTTATCGGCTTCATATAAGCGACTCTGAATGGTTGAATTTTGTACACTTTTTAGGATACAAGTACAAGATTAAGAATATATTAAGAAAAAGAGAGGATCAAGCAATAATCTAAAGTTTCCAGCTCAGATTAAAATAACTCTGAAAGAAGCCACTTTTAATAATTCTCAAATTTTAACGCATTTTCCTACTTTAAGTGTATTTAAAAATAATAAATGTCGGAATTATTTTGTCCTGGCAAAATTGTCCAACCTTCTTGGTTCATAACCCTTCGCTTTGGTCGGGCGAGATGCCATAAAACATGGGGGTCCGATCGGTTTAGCTGATTTGACGTTTATTGGATACAAACAGACAGACCAGCAAAGTATAATTATAAATTGGTAATGGTATAACTGAGCAGGGTAGGAAGACCGGAGCAATAACTATTTACCAAAATGTTTGTTTACAAGAACACTAGGATGTAAACAAGATTATAAGATAAGACTAAAAGAAAAGAGTAAAAAAAAAATATGGTTTGAACAGCTGTACTTGAAAAATTTGGTTTGAACAGCTGTACTTGAAAAATATGGTTTGAACAGCTGTACTTGAAAAATATGGTTTGAACAGCTGTACTTTAAAAATATGGTTTGAACAGCTGTACTTGAAAAATATGGTTTGAACAGCTGTACTTGTACTTGAACTTGAGTTTAAAAGATTTTACTTACGCAGTAACTAAGCCTGATATCTCATCCCTAATCTTAGCATCAGGTTCAAACACAGATATATTGGGTTTAACAGGACCCGGAACGGGAAGGATCAGGTCCCCGGAGCTCAATGTACCGGATATAGCACGTCTTAGAACTCGAAGAGATGCAAGAACCCCGGCATCCTTAACATTCATTTCAAACAGTTTGAACAAATACCAAAAGATTTGATGTATAAAGAAGACAATTCGAAAAATGCATCGAGGAAGAATTTCTTCTAAAATTTTTGGAAGTCTTCATCCCCCCCCCCCCACNCTAAAATATCGTCGTTTTCTGTTCTGCGAGGTCAAATTAAGTTCCTTCCTTGATATTGCTGCTTTTACCATCAAGTCACTTTCAGAGGGAAACCACGATTGGGTATTATATATTTTTAAACAGAAAAAAGATATTTCTAAACAATCACTTTTACATAAAAACCGCAATAGAAAATAATCAGTTTCCAGTATTATAAACATTGTTATCAATTAATACTTGATCAGACAAAGCTTTTAGGGGTACCAATGTAAATCGTGCATTGTAATCTTTGCATTGAGGGTCACTTGACATTACACTTACAGTCCCCCTACATGGGAGTTACAAGCTTAAGAGGGAGGGAGGGGGGGTTACCTTATATCATGAAGAGCAGAATTATGAAGAACACTAGTCTGCAAAACTTGTTCTTGACGCAGTCTTTCTTCCCGTCGTACTTTATCACATTGATCTTTTAATGATCCTAAATTGGAAATTTATAAATATTTGGAAATAATAATTTTGTAAGTCAAAAGGGTGGCTTACACAAACTAGAGACCAAAACTTGTATTTAATCTTTTCAAAAAACACTAACCCGTTCCTTGAACAGTCGGACCAATCAAAGTTAAGAGTTAGAGGATTCCGCATAAACCGCTAAGCGTTATTCTAATCGTAAGTTTTAACCTCCGGTTAAGCGAGTTTATTACCTAGAGAACGGGTCTGTGCGTTGCAAACATTGGTCCATTCTTTCTTAGTGTGGAACAGTGACTCCAGACATTCCTCGTTCCAGCCTGAACCATTATCATAGTCATCATTGTTATCATAGTCATTTCATTGTAATTTCATTGTCATTTCATTGTAGTCGCCTTTGTCGTCGTCGTCGTTGTCGTTGAGCCCGTTTTTCAAAAAGGGGCGACTCTCATTGCAATCCAAGTGTATCGAACAAGAAGAAGGTCTGGTTTACCTAATTCAGCTTCAAGTGCAGATATTCTCCTCTCTAGTTCCTGGTAGGATAAATCTGAATCTGTTCCTGCAGAAGACTCCAGTGCAGCTTCCAACAGTTCACCAGATAGGAGTTCTCTAGACAAACAAGACAAAAACTACAGAACCAGAAAACTACAGAACAGGAAGACGACATTAACGCAATACTGAAGTGCATTTGATGTTGCTTCAAAGCAAGAAATTAAATAACTTATTTAGTGAAATGGGTCTATTTACACTGAACAACTGTTGTCTCATGTTTATTGAATTAATCAAAGTCATAACTTGAGACTAAAAGTCGACTTCCTATTCCAGAGTTTTTTGGTTATCACTGTATGAGGTCATTACTTGATAGATATGGCTATCCCAACCGCAAGCTTTAGCCCTTTACGAATTATAAAAATCACGTCACCTATAGAGTAATAACAAAATTGAAGAAAAAAAGTTGAATGTTCTCTTACCCTGGAGAAATGTTAGAGAAGGATTCCAATTCTTCCAAAGTTAGATAATTCTCTTCCAGGGTTAAATGAGATGAAACCCAGTTCAAAAGTTCGCTACTTTCAGTATCCTAGGAGAAGCAAATGTTTAGAATAAATAATTTCAAATATGTAAAACTTCTCAAAAAAGTTTAGTTTTAGAATTTCAAAAACCTTGAAAAACAAACGAAACAAAAGTCTGGATTTCATAAAATTCACGTGACTTTTGAGTATCAAAGAATAGCATGTCTCATTCACAACGCAGGGTGCTTTCACCAAAAAAGTAGATTTTTTTTAGTTGATAACCTATTATTTTCACCGTTGGTTTTTCCAAAAAGTAACTTTCCTAATCATCCAGAATCTTTTAAGCCTTTAGTATAAATAAAGAAAGGGGGTGTACTGTTGAGGTAGGGCAATTTGTTTGAAAAAAATATGGATTAATTAAGGATGAAAAAAAATGGAGAAAAATAACCTCAAACAACCAGTCAAATGAGTCCGGGGAAAAGTTTTTAATCTGTGGGAACTGTAGATCTGATAAGGTTGAATATAGCCCCGATCCTCCTCTTCTACCAGGCATCTAAACATATCAAACAAATCCACTCAGGAAGGAGAAAACTTATGAATATTAAGTTAAATATCTCAGAAGAAAGCTATGCATATTAATTTACGCCCCTAGGAATAAAACTTATGAATATTAAGTTAAATCCCTCAGAAGAAAACTTATGAATATCAAGTTAAATCTCTAAGAAAACTTATGTAAGTTAAATCCCTCCGAGAAAACTTATGAAGTACAATCTCCTAGAGGAAAGAAGAAAACTGGTGAAAATTAAGTTAACCCTTCCTCTCATAAGAAAGCTTATGGATATCAAGTTAACCCTTTCAGAAGAAAACTTAAGAACATCATGTTAAACCCCCATCAGAAGAAAGAAGAAAACTTATGGATATCAAGTTAAACCCCCATCAGAAGAAAGAAGAAAACTTATGAATATCAAGTTAAACCCCCATCAGAAGAAAGAAGAAAACTTATGAATATCAAGTTTCTCTCGGAAGAAAAACATAAATTCAGTTAACCCTTACAAAGGAAAACTTATGAATGAGAAGTTGAACAACCAGCATCCAATAAGAAACAAGAAACCATGAATATTAAATTTTGGGTTGACACTAATTCAATGTGCAAAACCCAATTACAGAGGTTATATATTTTAAAGCTTTTTACTTGCTGAATTAGAGAACATTGATGAATTTTTAGGTAAAAAGTATCTAAAGGAGTGAAAAACCAATTTAAGAACTCTGAAAAATATACACTCCTCAATTATAACCTTTTTAATCTTGAAGTTCTAACCTTGATTTCTCCCTCTTAAACTCCTACCCAAGACTTGATCACATTTTCTCTGATAAAATATAAAGTATAGATTTTAATTACATAATTTTACATTAGATAAGGATCTTGGAGAGCCCAGACCGCCATATAAATATATATATATAATAATTTTCAAATACAGGTCACTGCGTAAGAAAGGATACTTCATTCCGTATTCTTAAGAAGACTCCCCGCACTAGCCATGGCCTAGAAAAAACATTAGTTGGCTATTACACACAAAGAATGAGACTGTAAAGAATGAGACTGTAAAGAATGAGACTGTAAAGAATGAGACTGTAAAGAATGAGACTGTAAAATTTTTCCAGTGCGGATCCAGGATCCGGATCCGCATAAAAATTAAATGGTTCCTAACCACTGCTAAACACTAGATCAATCAAATTAATCCCAATGTTAAAAAAAACTTCATTAAGAATTACAGTAAAAAAATATAAGAAAATGTTGCTAATATGTCAACCCTAGAATAAAATGCCTTTTTTTAATGTCCTGCTTGAGTCCAATTCATGATAAGATTAAGAGAAAAATAAAACTATTCCTAGACCTGGTTCAGTTCTGCCTCTATTTAATGTCCTGCTTGAGTCCAATTCATGATAAGATTAGGAGAAAAATTAAACTATTCCTAGACCTGGTTCAGTTCTGCCTCTATTTAATGTCCTGCTTGAGTCCAATTCATGATAAGATTAGGAGAAAAATTAAACTATTCCTAGACCTGGTTCAGTTCTGCCTCTATTTCAAGAAGATCCCTCAAAGCTTCCTCCACATCTTCCTTCTGCTTCTTTTTCTTAACAAAACGCAGAATTTATACAGTGATACCCATAACAATGTGGAATAGTAAGACGATATTATATCAATCTTACGTGTATTCATGTTGAAATGTAAATAGTTTGAAAATTAACATAAGTCAAAATAGTCTTTGAACACTGTACACTGTACAATTGCAGTTTTTAATGCTCCTTGGACCATTTAAAATTATATTTTGAGTCTTCTCTTCCTGTTCCACAGTTATCTGAGTCTCCCTGTAGAACAATCAGGCGAATATATCAAAAAAAACACCGAAAAAAAAACAACTTATTAAATGGATCCTAAGCATTTTGGCTTCCTGGACCTGGATCCGCAAAAATATGCGGATCCACGGATCTGGAACTAACAGGGAAAACATTTTAACCGAAACCTGTTGAAAAACGCTCTCCAAACACAAATCTCAACGGTTGAAAAATTGATAATTAAAAATTTCCTAATCTCTGAATGGTGCATCAAGTGCAAGAAAAACCAAGATTTTTTTGCTGTTGAAAATTTTCCATTCCTAAATTCTAAAGAACTTTTCATAGTCTGGAACCGGATCCATTTTTTCAGGGAGGATCCAGGATCCGGAGGAAATGGATCCTAAGAATGTATCACTAAAAAATATCATTGTAATATTAGTCACTCACCCGGTTCTGAACCTTCTTCTTCGCCCGCTCAAGAATTTCCATATTTGTTGCCACATGCTCTTTGGACATCTTTAAAGCCTTTAACAAAAACATAATTAATAAAATCATGTTTTGTTACATTTAAAAAACAGTTTTTTAAAAGAAATGATTCAAGAGAAATTTGATGATATAAAAGAAATTACATGCTATCAGGAGAAATTAACTGAAGGTTCAGTTTCCAAATTTTGTTAATCTATAATAAAACAAGACATTCGTATATATACATGTTGCGTATAGCCGGCTGAATTGATTGGGCTGATTTTTTTTGTGGACACTCATGGGTGGCCGGGGGCTTCATAAGCTAAAAAAAATTCTAAATTAAATACCTTTTTCGCAATTTTTTTACATTTAAATTTTTTTTTCTAATTTTTTGTTCTACGGGCAACGCCGGGCCCTTCAGCTGGTTTAACATAAAACACAAAACAAACAAACTCGGGTTGATGTTTCAGGTGGTTCGTTGTTTGTTTATATTTCTTTTCAGAGTCAATATTCAGCATGGTTTTGAATAGTTTTTTTCCTCACTTTTATTATTTTAGAGTTAAGACATTGCAAAGTGTTTAATAAAAGTAAACTACATCAGTTTAAAAATCTTTAATGTTTTATCATTTTTTTCTCTAAAAAAATATTCAGAAAAGCAACTACTTGCACGTCCTTCTCACAAGGTAAGAGAAATCCAATTTAAAAAAAAATTTAACTTTGTAAAAATATAAAAAAATGAATGTGAATACATCAAGGCCCAAGGAAGACTGGAACAGTCCAACGGTCATGATACATCTGAACTACCTAACGCAGGTTCAAATACTTACAAAACTATAAATTTGAATCGGTGATACAGAATTTGAACCGGCGACAGGTAGTTGAGCAACCTCTCTCCAGTTGATAAAATTTCCTGAATATCTTGATCAACATATTGATCTATCTATCCCAGCACTTCCGGGTAGGGTGTAAATACATGACGTAGATATTTACCTCTTTCAGAAACTGCTCCCATTCTGCAGCTCTTCTTATCTTGTGCTCTTCCAGCTTTTGAAGCTTAGCTTTCTTAGCATCAATTTCCTCTTTAATCCCATCCATTTCATTCTAAACCATTAGAACATTATGATAAGATAAGTGCGAGGTAAACGTTGTAATGTGACGCAATAAGAACGCTAATTTAGTCAAAAAACAAAAAAAATGATTATTCAGAAAGTACGGAATTTTCATGATCAAGACTTTTAATTCATCGTTTAATTAACGTAAACCAGATCATCGGTGGTCCTGATATATTAGTTAAATTTAAAACCCCCATTTTACGCCTTTGGGTTCCTGAAAACTCACAGTAAACATTTTTCATGCTTAAAATAATGAGGAAAGAACATAATTAAGTAATTATCCATGACTTGTTATTCTACCTAATTAAGGAATTCTACCTAATCAAACGAAAATTTTGCGGAGTTGTCTATTTTTTCTTTGTGGATTTTGAAAAATCTATTCAAATTCAGACCATCCAGAAACCTTCCCCTGGAGTCATGTCATGACGTTTATTGGATAAAGAAAGAAAGAAAGATTTTACTATTAGAGTTTTAAAATCAGATTTATAAAAAAAGTTTTATAGTTCCTGGTCTATAAAATCGATTAAGCAATTAAAAATCTGAACAAAAACCTGTGAATCACTTCTAAGCTGAAGCATCTCAGCCTTGAGGGATGAAATTTTCTTATCTAAAGCGGATTCTTCTTTTTCAATCCTTGCCTTCTTTTCCACTAGGGTTCCCTCAACCTCACACAGTTTATCCTGTAAATAAAACCAGAAATAAAATCCGAAATGAAATCACAGTCACAACCACTATCAAACCACAATCAAACATTAAACATCCCATCCCACAATAGCACCCCCTACCTTCAAATACGTAGACTTCTTGAGGGCAGACCTCATCAAATCCTGGTTAGCTTCTAGCCTTGTCTTAATCTTGTTTAGCTCCAGGTTATCCATCTGGTTCTTATTCTTCAGCTCTTTCTCTAGACTGGAGAGCTCCGTCTGTATTGTAGATAAACCTGGAGGCCGGGTAACCGTCCCATCCTTTACAGCTGAAACATTCAGCGTTTATCAGGAAGAAAATAATATCATGAAAAATTCGAACTTATAAAAAAGAAAAAAATCTCGATTTGGTTTTAGTGCGAGGATCATTTCATTTTGACACGGAAAATTGGATCAAGGTAATGAAAATTTCTTTAAGTTTAAACCTTAGCATTGCATCATTTAACTTAAATCACACCTAGTTCAAATGTTTCCAAGATAAATATAAAAAGTGCTAAACCCTTTTTGTCAGTGCTTAGGATCTATTTAATTTTGATACGGAGCCTAAGCACTGCTTTTTATCACTAATCACTTATTACTCCATTGTTACCTGGAGGGGGGAGAGCAAGAAATTCGTCTCCAGATTTCAATCCTATCTCTATACTGATAGTATTACATTCACGACAGATCTTCTCTACACTCTCCAGGTCTCTATATATCTAGATATATTATTATTAATAATCCTATCTCCATACTGATAGTATTAAACTCGATATACCTAGAAATTATCAAACTTAGTATCCTGCCTATACATAACCTGTATCCTGTCCTCCTAAACCGGTTTTTTGTCCTACACTTAAACAGTATCCTGTCCTACCTAAACCAGTAGTGTCCTGTCTTACCTACCCCAGTATCCTATCCTACCTAAACCAGTAAGTGTCCTTCCATTCTTACCTACCACAGTATCCTGTCCTACCTAAACCAGTAAGTGTACTGTCCTACCAACCCCAGTATCCTGTCCTACCTACCACAGTATACTGTCCTACCTACCCCAGTATCCTCTCCTATCTACCCCAGTATCCTGTCCTGCCTTCTCCAGTATCCTGTCCTACCTACCCCAGTATCCTGTCCCATCTACCCCAGTATCCTGCCCTACCTACCCCAGTATCCTGTCTTACCTACCACAGTAACCTGTCCTACCTACTCCAGTATCCTGTCTTACCTACCCCAGTATCCTGTCCTACCTACCCCAGTATCCTGTCTTACCTACCCCAGTATCCTGTCCCATCTACCCCAGTATCCTGTCCTACCTACCACAGTAACCTGACTTACCACAGTAACCTGTCCTTCCTACTCCAGTATCCTGTCTTACCTACCCCTTTATCCTGTCTTACCTACCCCAGTATCCTGTCCTACCTACTCCAATAACCCGTCCTACCTCCCCAATATCCTGTCCTACCTACCCCAGTATCCCTACCTACCCCAGTATTCTGTCCTACCTACTCCAATAACCTGTCCTACCTACCCCAGTATCCCTACATACCTCAGTATACTGTCCTACCTACCACAGTATACTGTCCTACCTACCCCAGTATCCTCTCCTACCTACCCCAGTATCCTGTCCTACCTACCCCAGTATCCTGTCCTACCTACCCCAGTATCCTGTCCTACCTACCCCAGTATCCTGTCCTACCTACC